TTTTTAACAATGTTTTCTGTCCATTTTACAATTTCAGGCTCACACGAGGATTCATGATAGATAGAGACACCATGAACTCTGATTAGAGATTTACAGTCAGTCCTGATACTTTATGAACAAACTCACAATTCACACTCTTCTTATAGTGGTGTCGGTTCATCTAATAGAATTTATAGAATAATATATTCTGTAACTCTAGTCTAGTATATCTTGTAGCAGCTCAAGCTGTTGTAAATCCTGCCCACTTCTTTGCATTGTCAGCACATGCTTCAGTGCTCTGAGAGTGTTTATAGTGCTGTGAGTTTAACACTTCATGACTGAGAGCAGAACACAACACAATCTTCATCATCACACAAGACACAACAACAACAATGAACAACATCATCTTCATCTGGACACTGTGTATATGTGTACAAGGTAAGGTTTTCATGAAAATGTTAAAGTAAAATATTATATTATAATCAGCAATGAATATTACACAAAGATCCTGTTTTTTCTAACTCTAACTCTGTTTCTAGGTTTCAGTGGGCAGGTGACTGTGACTCAGACTCCCTCTGTTAAAACAGTTCAGATCGGTGAATCAGTCACTATAAACTGTAAAACAAACAAAGAAGTGACAGATGCCTGTCCAGGTTCATATACTTGTATGGCCTGGTACCAGCAGAAACCTGGAGAAGCTCCTAAACTCCTCATATATTATGCAACACGCCGTAACACTGGAACTCAATCTAGATTCAGTGGCAGTGGATCCAGAACTGATTTCTCTCTGACCATCAGTGGAGTCCAGACTGAAGATACAGGACATTATTACTGTCAGAGTTACCACAGTGGTCCAGTGTTCACACAGTGATAAAGAGTCGTACAAAAACCTCCGTCAGTCAGAGTCACAGTGACTGCACTGATACAGCTGAGAGACACTGCAGCTGCTCATAAACACAATCACACACAACACTGAACAGAGAACAAACACTAATAACACAATATCATTACAATAAACATCAATCTTGTATTTTTGAGGAGAATGAGTCAGTATTTTAATATGATCATCATGTTTTAGGTGTAATATATGATCTCTGTCAATCAAACTGAACAGACTGCATTCAGTCACTTCTGCTGTCTGGACGTGATGTTTTCCATTTGACCCACGATTTACATTCTTAAGCCTCGTTCACACCAAGAGCGATAGCTATAAAGATAACTATAAAGATAACGATATTAGCGTCCACACAGCGAACTATATTGTCTGTTTATTCTAAGCGCATGCTCGTCTGCTGCTTTAAATTCTCAAGCTCGTGATAGCAGGAATGATTCTGATTGGCTGTCAATTTTATTATCGATCATCAGCTGGAGAAAAATTGTTCTGAAAGTGATTCCAACAATATCGTTTCTCTGTCTTTATCGTTATAGTTGTGGTGTGGACTCTGCTATACTTTAATATTGAGACCTATTTTTAGAACTATATCTTCTATTATAACTATATCTATATCTATATCATTATCTTTATAGTTATCATCCTTGGTGTGAACGGGCCTTT